AACACAGTGTCAAGCAAGACAAAACCTTGCAAAGATCTGAGAGAATACTGTACATATTTAAAAAACAACTTAAATCCCCTCAACTCCATCTCTCTGCAGTAGCTAACATAACAAATCAATGAAGATGGATGCAAAGGATGCTTAAACATAAAATATGAGAACAAATACTAAATTTTCCCACTACCATTAGCATAACTGCACTGCCTATTGTTTTAGACAGCATAGCAGAAAGTGATGTTGACCCATATTTGACAATTAAATGGAATTTGAAAAACAGAAACTTCACTTTAATTTTAGGAAACAAAACAATAGTCTAGATATCTTGAGTTATCTCAGAGATAGGACACAAGTCTAAACGTGACATTCAGTTATCTTATACATCTTAGTTTGAATGTAATTTTATACAATATTGTGCATGAAACATAGTTTCTGTCCACTAAATTATCAGAATACAAAGGTGTCACTACCTCAGACACCCATGTGGGCAGTTTGGGGTATTTTGGGATTCTGGATAAGGAGCACTCAACATGCACTTTGCTTTTTTGCATTGAATTAAGTATGAAGAGTATACAAAATTAACTTTGTGGATAAAGGCCAGAGACTTCTCCTTTCAGAAATATTGTTGCACAACTTTAAGTAAACTGGCTGAAATCCCATTCAAGACTACATTTCTTAAACTAGAGTAATATCAAACTTTTAAAATGAAAAGGCAACTTATACTGTCTATGAGAAAGGTTTGGTTTTTTCTCTCCAAAAAATAACACTTGACAGATTTTTAAGATGAGTTCACTTTCCCCTAAAATGCAGCAAGGGGAAAAACAGTTCCTGAAAAATTTATGACTCCTATAATACAATACAACATAAAATGCCTACAATTATAATTCATAATCTCTTCTGGAAACTATGCTAACAGATGTGTCCAGACTGGTAAAACAATGTAAATATAAGCGGAGATATTTATACTTTATAAATTAAAATATCATGGATAACAACAACAACATTATCCTGCTAAGCATGTTACATGGAAGTACATCCCAATTATTTCAAAGAGATTCAATTCAAAACAGAGCAGCACTTTTAGAACCTATCTTGATAATGTTTTCACAGAACTACTGTATTAATGGGCCTCAGACCCAAATATAAAGACTTGCAATTGTGCTGCACCTATGCGTATTTACTGAGAACTCAACCCATTATGTTCAGTGAGGCTTACTCTCAGGCTGAGTGCACAGGATTTTGCTACCAGTATATGATAAATAAGGATGAATAGGTTTAGTTCAAATCTTTGTTTCACTAGCAGGAGCTTTACCTAAATGGAGTTTCACTCAAGGAATTTCCCTGAGAGAGGAAGCCTAGGACATGTATTTAGCAATTACCCCCTATTCTTTGTAATCCATTTCATTCTTCAAAAATGTTGTCTAGAGAACTAGGTGCCTTCCAGAATAGTGGGATGTACAGAAAAATAAATGCTGGAAATTCCCTGCTGTCATGACCAGGATCCACCAGTATCTTTCATGAATGGAAGAAGTCCTTTGTTCACATAAGAAGAAATTAGGATCGAATCCAGTATTTTTGTAACTGAAGCCACAACTAACCTTACTATTCTAATAACACTCATTAAGAAATCTGCTGTGGGTGTTAACAGAGGATGAGGCTATCAGTAATTCAAGGCACATCAAATAACTAATCAATAAACTTATGTATCACTTTCCAAGTTTTAGGAAATAAAGTTAACAATGCAATGCAAAATCAAAATAACAGAAGTGATTTTAATTTCCTTGAATCACACACAGATATTATAAACCATTTATATTTTTCTATAACACTTCATGGCCTTATCAAAACACATGGAGGAAGGATATCTTCTGATGACTAATCTGTATCTCCTAAGGAATACAATGTGATTCTCACTCTCATTTATAAAATGCTTTGCCAAATAAATCCATAGGCAATTCTTCCTCCATAAAGTGATGTATTTTTGGTTAGCTCACAAAGCTACACTGAAATGAAGTCATAAAGAAAGTAGAAGAGATTTTAGAAAGCTTAGAATCAAAAGAAGCTAAGTATCTATAGGTCACACAGCGCAGTTCAATAGAGACCTTATACACTGTGTTTAGAAAAAAAAAAACTATTTTCCTAGAGTAGAGTAAAATCCAGCCTGACAGCCCTGAAAAAAAAATTCATAAAACTTTTGAAGTAGACTTCCACCTATCCATGCTTAAGGTAGCCACTAACCATAGTGAGATATGAATGAATGTGATACTTCAAATGATGAAGCACTTCTTAATTTAATGTTTAAAAACATGTTTGAATTGTAAAAACTTTAAAGATAATTGTTACAACTTTAAAGATAATTTATATTTCTATTGGAAACAAAAAGATAACAGAAAAACTATTCAGGTAAGGTGATGAAGTCAAAGTGGTCCATAAACAGCTATTAAAGCTTGCTCATTCCTTACCATGTATATACTTGCTTTAATTAAGAAATGTCAACTTCAGCATGACGTGGTTTTAGAAATAATTTGACACTTATAAGTTGTATGCTAAGGAAAGAAAGAATAAATGAAAAAGAAACCACAGATGTATATTTTACATAATGAAACAAAAGGTTTTGCAGACAACTGTGATCTGATACTTCCCACTGATATTTTCTAATGTAAGTGCAAATAGTGATCTACAGTGTCCATCCCCCGTCCCCCCAAATATGATGGGGGCTACTGGCCCTAAAGACCTATACAAAGCGCCTAACATACTGTGAACATCTCAAATTCTGCAACAAATTGTTCTAGAAATATATTGAGCTGATATGGACATTCTATATGGGATTTTTAATCTATTGAATATTTAACTGTTTTCTTTGTTTGGATGCTAATTGCATTGATGTTTTATTATTTTTATTAGATATGACAATGTTTATGATGGTGCAGTTTATTTTTACTGCATGTTATGTTTCTGCTTTTTATGTGTATTTCGCTGCTTTGAGTTCTGACCAGGGAGAAAAGCGGGAAATAAATAAATAAATAAATAAGGAGCCTTAAGAATTATAGGGATTGCTACCACTGATATCAATAAAAGAAGGGTCATACCTACAGTCAATGCAATGATAAAAATTGTAACTATGTTGATTATGTGCTTCATCCAGCTTGCCCCACTCATGTAGTTGTGAAATGTGATAACTGTCCATAGGCCACATCTACACTGTCATATAATGCAGTTCACAGAACTGAGCTGCTTACGGCCATCTACACTGCCATTTAATTCTTATGGCCATCTACACAGCTTCTGACATTCAAAATTAATTAAGCCACGGCTAATAAAGAGTCGGGGATCTGAAGCAGCTTCAGAATTGTCAGGGTGCAGTAACATGAAGAGAGAAATGTCATCTCTAAAGTTACTGCCATGATAGCAACTGGCAGCAACCATGTGCTTCATTCAGGCAACCATTTTGTCTTTTTAATCAGGCAATCGTGGCAAGTGATGATTGTGCAAAGGCTGCTTGAGCAACATAGACTACCACCTGTGAGAATTCACTGTTCCTACTGGTAATACACAACTCATGGTTTCTGCACTGTTATACATAAGCAACTGATAGAATCAGTTTTGTGTTTTCATTGCATAACTTGGTGTTTTATATATTTTTTAATTATGGAGACAGTTCTTGTATAACTCACATACTAATCTTGTAAATGTCTGTACTTCCCATTTTTGTGAATTGTTGATCCTAATAGATTTTCTGCAACAAGCCTGTTTTACTGGGAAAGTATCATAAAAGGTATGCCATTTTATGTCCAGTTGGTATAATGACAGATACCTAGGTATTTGATTTGTTTGCTTTCTATGAGGAAATCTGACACTCACAAATGGTTTAACGTGGTCCTTTGACAAAGTTTTAAATTCACTGTTAATTTTCTCTACAAAATAAATCAGACTTGAAAAACTACTGTTATTGTATTTTTCTAAGTGCTTGGGAAATCATAATGCTTTGTATCAATTCAATACTGCCTCCCCTCACACAAGTTAATCCATTTATTAAGGACTGGTGGAAAGGCCTTTCTGTTTATGCATTATTCACCACGAAGCAAATTAAAAATTCCACTAGGACATACTTTTGCAGAACTCCATGTGATGTGTAGTTTGGCCCTCAGCCAGCTACTTTTAACAATGCAGATGGAAAGAGATTTGTTGCCACACAAAATGTTGTTGAGGGCACCAATATGAGTATAATTACAGTTGGCCCTCCACATCTGCAGGTTTAACTTTCATGGGTTTGATTATCTGAAAATTTGATTAGTGTGTTTTCCCTAGGAATCTGTAAGTCCTCCCAGCACAACTTTATTGTCAACTTTTGGTGGATGTTGACAACAAAGCTGCACTAGAGATTCCTTGAGAGAACACGTCTAGGCCTTTTTAGGTTTTTCAGCAGGGTTCTGTGGTCAACATCTGGTAGAAGTTGACCATTGAGTCATGTTGGAGAACCTACACATTCTAAAAGAGGTGTTATCTCAGATATAAGTTTTTTTCCCTAATTTGTGGCTCTTCCACTTTCACAGGGGTCCTGTGCCCCTAAGTCCAGCAAATGTTGAGGCCTGGCTGTATTATCCTCCCAATCTCTTTACTGTGAGTTCTAGCTTCTCTTGAGCAAAGAAAAAAAATCGCAACAATGGAGACTATAATGTGAAATGAAGTGCTCCAACGAAATTTTGTTTCAAAAGGGAAGCTAACAATACAAAAGTAGTCTAATTATCTTCAATTACATGAATCCTTAAAAGTATTCACAATGGTAGTAAGCCCTGGAAGGCAAGAGGAAGAAAAAGAAAACAGCTTGAAGGCAAACAGCATCAGTACACGAGCCTTGAAGTTTCAGTCTAAAAGTATCACTTATATCACAACAAGAGAAATCCAGGCATTTGAATAGATAGCAATTACAATACATGCTTACTGGCTGATTTAATTAAAATTGCTTCAAGAAATATACTAATTGAAAATGTAAAACTACTTACAGGCTAACTTTTGTTGTGACGGTTCTGGAAACATCAAAGCTTATATTTCTCTGTTTCACTGTGCCCAAATCAGAGGACTTTTCATCTGTAGTTCCCATCTCACCATTTCGACACTTGTCAGTCTGCCCCAAACCACTGCCATCAGTGCTTTTGGGAAAATGTGATACTTTTGAGTCTATTTTCTCTTCAGAAAGTGGCAAAGTGCTTGTAGGCTCTGTGGGAGACATTTTGTAAGTCACCATAGAGCTTTCACTAGAAGATGATTTCTCTGATGTAGTGCTTTTAGATGTTGGGTTACCACCTGCCACACCTTCATTTTGTCTTTTGGTGGCAGAATCTTTGCCTTGACTTTTCAAACCAGTAGGTGAAAGAGGACCTGCCTCAGACTGATTCTTTTTAAGGGATTTCTTCTTGCATGGAGATGAAGCTGAGGTCTGCTGTTTGCTTTTATCTAGCTCTGTTTTATTAAGTCCTTTTTGGTTACTTCCAGTCCTTGTGTCATGGTTGGCTGTGGGATAATTATTCTGTGGAGAAGCTTTAGCTTTTCTTTCAGAGTTGTTTATTTTTTCTGATGTCAGATCTGAAGAAATACTACCAAAACCAGGTTCTTCTTTGACACTATTCTCAGCCACATTTCTATCCCCATTTGGCACATCACTGGAAGACTGAGATTTCCTCCTCTTTCCAGACCTCCTTGCTGCAGTTTTTTTATCCATGGCGTATGTTTTACTACAAGGCTTGTCTAACGTAGCAGTCTCTGTTTTATTTGAATTTGGTTGCTCTGTTTTGTGTAGAAAGATATCTAGTGTCAACACTCTGGAAGGGCAAATGTGCTCAGATGGCTTAGATTCCAAACTAGAGAACTGGTCATTTGAAGCTGCATAATCTGATCCCAAAAATGGATGCACATCCACTAATTGCTTGTGGTCTAATATGCTGTGTTCTAGGTCTTCACTGGATGTGTTAGCTAAAGTTTTGCGGAAGTCTGGGGTTGTGGTATAAGTTGTATCGGTTACAAGCTCATTCTCTGCCCCCAGTGTCTGGAGTGAAAGATTGCTACTAAATACTGCATCCTTTATTGTCTCATTACTACTGTGCCATTCAGATGACCATTCACTGTCAGAAGAAATCCCTTTAGTATTCCATTCTGAAACAATGTCATTATACAAAGGAGTCAGGTCCTTATTGTAGAGATACTCATTTCGGTCGTCAATGCTATTTGGTGTCCTTGACTGGTTCTGATCATAGGCCTGGTCAATAAGAGACTCTTCGCTTTTAGACAGATCTTTTATGTCATCAATATCTAGCGATGCCAATGGAGCTAAGTTCTTTTGAGGGGATGCAGAATCGGCACCTATAATTTTTGGCCTCAATTCTAATGTGTTTTGACTTTTTTTCCTTCTTCCTGTTGTAAAAAAGTTTCCAAATTTCCCCAAAACTGGTTTCTTTTTGTTTTCTTCCTTAGAAGACTCTGATGTGCGGTTTTTGGACTAAAAAGAAAATCGGAAAAAAGAAGAAAGTCAGAATTCAAAGCAAGGGTATTTGGTACACATTTATTTCTACTATAAAGCATGTGTATAGCCAAAGAAATGGGGAGGTGCAATGAAACTCATTGAATCATAGACATGGAAGACACCCCAGGGACCTTCAGTCCAACCCCTTGCCATGCAAGAATACAAAATCAAAGCACTCTCATCAGATGATCATCCAGGCTCTCCACCATTCTTTCGAAAGGGCATTTTTACGAGTAAACAACCATGTCTTACCATGTCTACTCAGAAGTTAATCCTACTGAATTTAATGGTAGGTACTTCCAGGGATGTGGGTGTAAGACTACAAACAGAATGGCCTATTTACGCATGCCATTAGAAAAAATAATCAGTATCTACTTGCCTTTGTGTACAATCCTATATTTATCTGGGAGTAAAATAAATCACTGGGATACACTGGTGAGCAAAGGATATCTTTACTGATTAAACTTCTACAGCAAGTCAGTACATAGGTCACATTCTTGATAAATATGAATTTTATTAGCTGCATGCAGATTGTGTCATTGCAGCAGTGGAGTGTGTGACTCAGGGCCACCCTTTTCTCCTTCAAGAAAAAAAATACAATAGACTCAGGTAATCTGAACTCAAAGCAACCAGAATGCTCAAGCAACCAGCAAAAAATCAAACTGAAGAAAAATACTTTAAACACAAATTAAAATACCTGTATAATATTGTGAAACGGTGTTACATTAAGTTGTCCATATTTGTCTTGGTTTGCTTTTAATTACTGAACTTCAATAGTAATATCAAGCCAATACTGGGGTGATGGGATGGGATAATACGGGGTACAGTATTAGTCAGGCTTATTTTAACAGTAATTCTCACGCAACCAGAAACTGCCGGTATCCAGCATCTACCAATCCCCATGGGTGCCGGTTAGTTGAAACTCTGCTGTAAATATTAATTCTCTGAGCCACAGCTTGGGTCTGCTTCGAAAGAACAAGGAAATGCCTTCCTCGGAATCAACGAGGTCTACCGTTCCCTTCGATGCCAAACTCCTTTCCACCCGGGTCCCGCTCGAAAGCCAACAAGGGCGAAGGCGGCGCCCGCATTCCGCAGGACGGCGGCGCGCAGGTGAGGCCACGGCGCCCCGTGCTTTCCCTTCGGAAGGAGTCTCCCGCAAGCAAGGCAGCCCTCGAGGGCCCAGGAGCCCCTCCGGCCAGGTCACGGGCCACTCGGGCCACCGCGCGCTCTGCCCCAAGGAGCTTCCTGGTTTCGTCCAGGTTCGCGCGCTTTCGCGCCTCGCCCCCCACCCCCCAAGAGTGCGCCTGGCAAGGTGCGCCTGGTCGGCCTCCTCCGCGGGATGTTCCGCGCGCCCCTCCCCACAGCCCACCCCCCCCCCGTGACTTACTGCTCCCGGTCGGCTGGGCTGCGCTGCCCACCCGAGAGCGCCCGTCCCGTCCTTTTCCCTCAGGTGACTCTCACCAGCGGAGGCGCCAAGCGTCTGACGGCAGAGCCCGCCCCAGCCTAGCCTGCCCCGCCCCGCCCCCGCCCGCCCCCGCCTCCGGCGCCCACCGCCGCAGCTGCCGCTCTGCACCCAAGGCAGGCAGGCAGGGACGGAGGGCGAGAAGGAAGGAAGGAAGGAGGGAGGGAAGGAGGGAGGTCGGTCAAGTCAGAGGGCTGGTGGCTGCGTGCCCCCAAGTCTTTTCTGACCTCTGGCGACCCCGAGGCGGGCCCCGTCGCAGGGTTTCCCTGGTACGGCTTTCCTCGAAGGCCGAGGGAGCCTCCCAACCCGGCCTTGAGCTCCCAGGGCTGAGGGGCGACGCCACCCCTTGCTGCCCAGAGCCCTGCTCCCAAGACCAAACCTCCGCACAGATACCTGCAGTCTAAAATGCATCACCAAATGCAGCTCGCTCACCGGAGCTCCAGCAAACAGAACTCTCAGGTTGTAAATTATATACCTGTAGATACAGCTTTAAAATAAATATTATATTTTATTGGGTCTCTTTTTAAAAGAGATCTTGGGTCTCTCTGTCGGAGTCAAGTATGAATGTTGCCACCTTGATTAGCATTGAACGGCCTTGCAGCTTCAAAACCTGGCTGCTTCCAAATACTAATCAAGGTGGCCAATTGCAACATTCATACCTGCCTCAAGCAGACAAGAGTCCTTTTTCCCACCCTGGACATTCTACAGATATATAAACCCCACTTGCCTAGTTTCTAACAGACCCCACAACCTCTGAGGATGCCTGCCATAGATGTGGGTGAAATGTCAGGAGAGAATGCTTCTGGAAAATGGCCATACACCCCGGAAAACTCACAGCAACCCAGTGATTCTGGCCATGTAAGACTTCGACAACACAGTCCTGTATATTCCTGACCATGTTGAGACTGCATGCTTTCCCTCAGAGCCAAAGATGTAATGTCATAGGACATGTGGGCAATCCAGGATATTCCTGGACTGCAGCAGCATCCATCCTTAGTAATGCTGATTCTGAGGGAAGCAAATGCAGGATAGGGCTGCTTGTTTGAGGGTGCCAATGAACCAGGTATAATTTTCCAAAGCACAGAAGCAAAAGGTCTCGACAGGTAGAACAATGCCCAGGAAATGAGGTATTTTCACAGGGCTGGTTGCCTCACACAAGTCTGAGCAATTCCAAGTGCTGCTGCAGCAAAGCCTCACAGCCTGTTCAGGACAAAAAGATGCCTCAAGCAAAACCAACTGCCTTTGATGCTATGGTAGAAAGCCAACAGTTCTTATTGGGTATTTTGAAAAAAAGCTAAGGCAATGCCAATAAACCACATCTGAAGTTACCGCAATTATAAAACGCGACTTAAAACATGTTATTTCAAAAGAAGTTTGGTATGATAAAATGGTTATTTGTTTTTAAACAAACTGATCCATCTGTGGAGAACATCTGTCTTTCACCTGCCCTTAACTTTATCAGATATCAGTGAAAGTATTCTGAAGAAAATATGCTACTACACATCACAACATAGGAGAGAACTACACATGCAGTCTGCAAAGAGATGGAATGACATATGCATAAATCAAGATCTCAAATTAGAGAACCAATCGTTCATTTCCATTCTACTTAATTTACTGTTTTGCTCACTGAACTCACTGAACTGGTAAAGCCTTAAGTGATGAGCAAAAAGAATAATCCCTGGCAAATGTATATTTTATTTATGCCAGATGGGATTTAGCCTCACTGAAATGCAAAGCAGGCAATGCAAAACCAACACAAACACCTGATGCAAATTTGCACAGGAAGATAGTATTCTTGTTCCCATGAAAGCCTTTTTGTCACAAAATAATGGGTGTAAAGGCCCAAGACAGCTAGAAGGATGTAGGTTTGAGTATTAGTCTACAATTTTGGAAATAGGGCTCCAAATCCCTATTCAGCCATGGAAAACCACTAGGTGATCTTGGACATGTCAAACTTAACCCCAGTGAAAGGCAAAGGCAGCCTTGCTCTGTACAAATCTTGCTAAGGCAACCCCATGATAGGATCATGTAAATGTTGTCATTGTTTTAGATGCTTATGTATTGTGTTATGTGTGCTGCACTTTGGAGTGCTTTTATGAGCCACACTGAGTCCCTTCAGGGAAATGGTGACGGGAGCTATATAAAGTATTATTATTATTATTACTTTACTGACACAAAAGCACGGTATGTCACAGCAAACGAGATCTATATGCTGGATTTCGTATCACAAAATCACAAGTCGAACACTTCCCAAGCGTCTAGGACTGTGTGATGTATTTTTGAATGATACGTGCAGATCCAAGTAAGGTGGCCTTTTGCAGTTGACAGATCGTGATTTTGTTGATGTTTATTGTTTCCAAATGCCAGCTGAGATTTGGAACCACCTGTTCCAACTGGTGGTTCCAACTGGTGAACTGCCAGAACCTTTGCAGTTCGATTTTGAGGTCTTGATAGCAGCTGAGCTTTTCCTGTTGTTTTTCCTCAATGCGGCTGTCACCTGGCATGGCGACATCAATAATCCAGACTTTTTTCTTTTCCACAGTCGTGATGTCTGGTGTATTGTGTTCCAAAACTTTGTCAGTCTGGATGCGAAAGTCCCATAGTATTTTTGCATGTTCATTTTCCACGACCTTTGCGGGTTTATGATCCCACCAATTCTTTACTGTTGGCAGGTAGTACTTGTGACATAAGTTCCAGTGAATCATCTGGGTCACAGAGTTGTGTCTTTGTTTGTAGTCTGTCTGCAATTTTCTTGCAACAACTGAGGATATGGTCCATGGTTTCATCAGCTTCCTTGCACAATTTGCATTTTGGGTCATACGCTGATTTTTTGATCCTGGCCTTAACTGCATTTGTTCTGATGACTTGCTCCTGGGCTGCAAGAATCAGGCCTTCTCTCTCCTTCTTCAGTGTTCTATTCGTGAGCCATAACCAGGTCTTCTCCCTGTCAAGTTTTCCTTCAATTTTGTCAAGGAACTGCCCATGCAATGCTTTGTTTGCCAGCTGTCAGCTCTGGTTTGTAGTGAAGTTTTCTTGTACTGGTTCTTTATCTGCTGTGTTTTGAGAATTTTCCGATTATTGACTTCAATTAAAGCAGGTTCTTGGCTTTCCTTGACATATTCTGCCAGGGCATGTATTTCTTCTTCGACTGCTTGTTTTACTTGTAAGAGTCCTCTGCTACCAGACCTTCTAGGCAGATATAGCCGGTCAACATCACTGCAAGGATGTAGTGAATTATGAATGGTCATTAGTTTTCTTGTTTTTCTGTCCAAATTGTCCAGTTCTGCCTGCGTCCAGTTTATGATGCCAGCAGTGTATCTTATGACAGGTATGCCCCAGGTGTTTAGGGCCTTGATGGTATTGCCTCCATTGAGCTTGCTTTTGAGAATTTTTCTGACTCTTTGAATATATTCTTTGCTGACCATAGTTTTCACATTATCGTGTTTGATGTTGTCCAGCTGTAGTATGCCCAGATATTTATAGGCCTCTGGCTGGTGACACTTTATCGCTT